ATTCGGATTATTGTCCTCATCTTTGTTGCCATATACATACCTTACAAATCATATGAAATTCTCTTTAGGTTGACTTAAAATTTCTATAATTATTAAAATATAAAAGGTTGCAAATGTCCTCTATAGAATGGCGACTACGCAGTGATGGCTACGAAAAGGCAACTGTGTATCCTACCTTTTCCCTCACTCACACAGTTATGGACACTTCCTGTATTTGCCGCCGGTTTGTATTTTGCATTTTATCTGCAGTTTATTTAAGAACGCTTTGCTAACGCCAGAAAGTTAATTAAACAATTTCAAAATAAAGAAAAATATTAGAAAAGAATTAATATTTGTTTTTCAATTAAGTTTTATTTGAAAAAAAAAGAAGACAAATCTTTCCTGAATTAAACCTCGCAATTAGAAAAATCCCTTTCTTTTATAATGTCAATAATAATATTAATTTGATTAAGTGATTGTTTTTCTGTTTCAATAAATTTTAATTATCAATTATAAGATTTTGGTTCTTAAGAGTTAATGAACCACTTTCCTAGTAAAGAATAGATTTTAGAATAAGTTGCATAACGAAAAACGGTCAATGTCTGTAGTCAAATGGGCTTTATTTGAAGAGTTTAAAATGTCCAATGAAAAAAGCCGCACAAAGTTCATTAGATGAGAAACACTGATGAGATATGTTTGACAAATACATATTTATACAGTTAAAAGAGATGGGTATAATTTACTCTTAAATTTGTCAAAGGGATTGTTAGAGAAATGAACATTGATAGCTTAATGTCTGTATTTATTCTTTCAATAAAAAGATCAGGATCGTCTAACTGAATGATATCATTTCCTTCAGCTTTTTATATCATTTAACTTTAGTTAATTCTGTAGAAAACATAAAATACAGAGTGTTTCCAAGAAGCAACTCCATTCTTTGGTTCTTAGTTCAAGATATTGAATATTTTTTCCCATTAATGAATAAATATTAGAAAGAAAATTATTTGATGTTTATATTTTATGGGGTGTAACGTCATTGGTAGTACCATTTCAGCGAAGCACTCGGCCCTGTTTTACTCAGGTAAACTGGGATCCGGAACTGTACATTTAACATTCAAACATGGCTCCAAGAAGTCGTATGTGTACTGTGATGGTCGCACTCCGGTCAACGGCATCAACCAACCGGCTAAACTGTGTGAGGGTAGTCGGAAGCACCCGACCGAGGAAGGTGAACGCCCCATCCCGACTCAACTGTGCCAATGGGCCATCGACCTGTCGCCGGCCTGGACGTAGGAGCTGCGCCTAAGCGGCCAACTGCTGCACTAGTAGGCGGAGGAACCTCTTAGAAGAAGGACGAGATAAGCTCAACACCCTCGTTGCAAAAGGGACCGGTTAGCTATTGCACTATTTTGCCTTGAATGTCACCATGAACCACAATCACACCTGAGGGATTGGTGGCCTTAGCGGCGCAAAATGCACTAACTGAATACATGATGATAATGTCTATAGTTAAATGATGCTTCAAGAGTTCAAGAAAACGTATAAGAAATACAGACGCTGGTCTGGTAGTTAGGAAGTTAGCAATATTAACAAACAAGCAGAATTGAAATACAATTTATTACTTTCAAACTTTGAAAGTCTCTAATTTCTGGGATTTATTTAAAGTGAGGTTCATACACTTTGCATGGTAGAGAGTTACAGAGTAAGAGGCCCAGTTTATGCGGTTATGTGGGGTAAATAACTGTTAACCCTAGACTTGAACAGGTTAACATTGTAGGGATCGGGAAAACACCATCTTAGGAGCCGGTTACACAGAGCAGCAGTTATCAGGAAGAAACTGCTCGAGTGGAACTTCTCACCAGTGCAGAGAATGGCTGTGGTTCGCTACTACATGCGTGGTATGGCGTCTCGTAGGCATGCAGGTTAAAATTAGTGAAACTAAAATATGTACTTCGGCTGTGCTATTTCGATGGAAATACAGATAAAGCAGAGAGAGGCTTGCGATATATTTTCTGTGAGGAAAGGGGTTGTAGAACGGAAAATAATTCATTACCCACACGAAGACTTTTAAACTCTATCGAGACTGGAGAGTGAAGACTGGGAAGCTTCCGCCCAAATATGACAACAGTACTCCATTTTTGGCCTGATCTGGCTTTTGTAAACTGTTGTGGTGTCCTCCCTCTTAGAGTCTATGTTAGACTCTTCTGCCTACAATAAGTTTAGTAGGAGAGAAGATTCGGGGAACAGTGAACAGTATACAGCGAATGAACTAGCGCCCAATCTATTCACTGTTCTCAAAATAACATAAACATTTGAATCTTAGTTTAATATTTGTTTTGTTGTGACCAAGTAAATTGTTAAGTAATAGCAAAAACCAGGATTACTGATATATCGTATATTAAACAGTAAGTACACCAGAAGAGTATCACCCGACTAATGAGAGTGTATCGTATGAACTAGCGCTCAATCTATTCACTGTTCAATGTTCCCTGAACCTTCTCTTCTACTAAATTTATAGTAGGCGAAAGATTCTACATGGATTCTTAGAGGGAGGCCACCACAACATAAAAATTGAGGGAAGCGACCGTCTTTCCAGTATCTTTAGCGATGGATCGTATATACGAGTTCCACTTGAGATCGGGAATATCTGTTCATCGTGCTTGATGATAATCCTGGGTTCATTCGGCAATGATGGTTTTCGAGGCATTGCATGTAACCAGCCATTTCCAGTTGGTTCCACAGAGCAGTGATTCGCAAGAAGAAGTTCGCTTCTCACCTATGGAATGATTCTCTATAATGTGAGTGGCATGTCGGGTCCTTGGCGTGAAGATTAAATCTGGCGGAATAAAAAAAATGTAGTTCTTCTGAGCGCTTTCCATGGAAGTAGCAATCGAAGTTTGCTACATCTCGTCCCTAAGAGAGAGCTTGCCCAGTGGGAAATAATTTGTCGCTCACAACGACGCGGAGACGCTTTTGGACTCGCGACAAGAATATGGAGACTATAGGCAGTACTCCATTTTAGGCCAGATCTGGTGAAGGTAGAGGATAGCACACGAAATCAGGTAATTACTGGTGCAGGACAGGGAACTGAGCATTTGTCCTGCACCTTTCACGATGGGTCGTATGTATGAGTTCTACTTGAGGTCTGAGTTGAGATTGAGGCCTAATAATCGCTCAGGGTACGGGATCTCAATGAGGAAACATCTATTCATTATGAATGGTGATAGCTCAGGGTCCGATCGGGAATGTAACTAGTTTGTTTCTTGAGACATTATCCATTTTTTCTCCCACTGAGATATGGTAAAACTCAATCGGAGGGGAGATCAGCTACTAATCTCTAGTTATCTAGAGTTTTAAACTTTTTCTTAGAGTCCCAGCTATGGGCAAATAATGACCCCTCAAAAAAAAAAAAAAAAAAAAAATAAGAATAAATAAAATAAAATAAAATAAATCAAACAAACAGAAAAAAAAACACTATGAAAGTATAAAAATAGATTTTTATTGTAAAAATATTAGCAATACATTTTATATAAAAAATTACCAATACTACGCACATACTAACCAATTGTAGCGACTTCACCGAAATTCGTTTAAAATATTATCAACCAACCAATCAACATGAAAGATCTCTTTCAAGACATTAATCCATATAATATCCTACAATTTCTTAAAAAATCAAACTGTATTCTAAAATAAAACTTAAAAAAACTATAACATAAAACACGCATTTTACCACCTCTAGTAATTATGTCCACACAAACATGTATATACATAAAAGCTGAGTATCATCTACCATGTAATCAAATGTGAAAGCGGAATAACATATATCATATTTTTATTACTACCAAGCCTCAAAGAAAATTTCATTTCGGCATAAGGAGTTGATATGCCGTTATACAGAAAAATCAATCAATCAATCTGAATGAAGTGTTCAACTGGAAATTCTCTGAAGGTGAGACTGATTGACAGGTGACAAGATTGAAGGCCGGAGAGTGATCGGTATAATAAAGAGGAAGACTTTCATCCGACTGCAGATATTGTAAATAATGATATATCACTCCTCATCCCAGAAATTCAGGCAGAAAGAAATATTAGACAATAATTGATAATATTTGATCAAACTTCACTTTTAAAATTATGTTAGTTTTTGTTAAATATGCGACGATGTTCACTAGAAAAATGCTCGTATGGAAAGTACGATATAAATTGAATTCCTTTTCCACCCACTAACCGGCTTTGAGCCTAATTTATAACCAAGCATTTAGCCTTACGTCCCGGCTGGGAAAACACCGTAATTTATGAGAAAATAGACACAATTAAACGTTTGCTAACAACACATCTAAGCTGTATTCATAAACGTTAACTGAAAACCCGGCCTACAGGCGCCATTTTTATTTTCTGCTTGCCGAACGCCGAAACGAGGCTTTAGACTGTAAAAAGGATCAAAGGTTTGAACAATGAATTTATTGAATTCTACCTTATTTAAAAATCATCTCCATCAGGAATTATGGTTCTTAAATGCTTGAGGAGATAACAGAAAAACATTTCATGGATTTAATATTCATTTTATATTCCACTTTAAATTGCAACATGAAGTACAGGTACAATAGCGAACGACGAGAAAGTGTAAATTAATAAACGGCGTTGGAACGTTATCATTTATGATCCTCTAGTGGTCTTTGCTTGAACTACAAATGTAAATATAACCTGATTTTTTTAAGTTTTGATTTTTCTGGTCACCGGAAGAAGTTAAAGGAAAACTTGTCATGTGAAAAAGGTTATAACTTTAGCTTTTGGCCAGGACCTTTTCAGATATATGTCTACTTTATATGAAATAAAAAGGAAAGGGAAATAAAAAGAAAGAAAAATCTTAGATTATAAAGAAGAGGGAAAAAGAAAAAAAATCTCGTGTTAGAAAGAAAGAAAGAAAGAAAGAAAGAAAGAAAGAAAGAAAGAAAGAGAATCTCAAATTAAAAAGAAAGAAAAATCTTAGATTATAAACGAAGGGGAAAAGAAAAAACTCATGTTAGAGAGAAAGATAGAAAGCAAAGAAAGAAAGAAAGAAAGCAAAAAAAGAAAGAAAGAAAACAAAGAAAGAAAGAATCACATAAAAAAAAAGAAAAATACTATATTAGAAACGAGAGGATAAAGCAAAGTTTTATACTGGAAAGAAAAACGAGAGAAAGATAGAAGAATAAAAAAGAAATAAAGGAAGACAGTAAGAGAAAAGAAAGAAAGAATTTCAGATTAAAAGAAAGAAAAACGAGAAGTGAAAAAGAAGTCTCATATTAAAAAGAAAGAAAGACAGAAAGAAAGAGGAATATAGAAAGAAAGAACTATAAAGAATATAAAAGAAAGAAAAATCTTAGAGTAAAAACGAGGGGAAAAGAAAAGCTCACTTTAGAAAGAAAGAAAAAAAGAAAGAAAGAAAGAGGAAAAAATCTCAGATTAAAAAGAAGAGAGAAAAAGAAAAAATCTCGTGTTAGAAAGAAAGAAAGAAAGAAAAAAAAAAAAGGAAAAAAAAAGAAAGAAAGAAAGAAAGAGGAAAACAATCTCAGATTAAAAAGAAAGAAAGATAATAATTATTAAAGAGTGAAAACGTCTGAATAAAACAAGACAGAGAGAGTATAATATGGAATGAAGGAAAGCATGAAAGTCCATTAAGGAAGAGATCAGAACTGCATCACGTCAAACAGATGATTATCGACAGGTTCGTGTCGAAAGGAAATAAAAGCTCTTAAAGAAAATAAGGCTATAAGGAGAAATTCTGTTGAATCGAAGAACTAATCATTTACTGCGTAACCTGAGACATATTCCTGACATTGAATTTCGAAACTTCTCTTGAAATCTTTCCAGTCATATATAATATGGCTTCTCAATATATCCAGATGTACTGAAAATATCTATTTATTTAGTGACTTGTTTCCAAAATCCTTAGCCTATTGACAGTCACCAAGAATATTCACGATATAGGTAGTTATTAATAAATATTATTTAGTGTCGTGAGGTGTGGGAGTTCCCAGTGAGGATCAAACTCACTGCTGTACCAATTTTCATTGTGCTTACTCTATACCTCTCCCCACCCCAAAAGAAATACAACGTATTCTATTTAGTAGTGTATAGCACATCGTGGCGTATAAAATATCTTGGAATATAACACACCCATGTTCCGTGTCTCTTCAGGGCGTGAGCCATGATGGCTCTCCACTACTTCCTGTTCTTTGTAGCTCTTAATAAATTTTGCATTTCGCGATCTCCCCTAATCTCTGTTCTGCCAATTATTTCTTCTTCTTCTTCTTCTTCTTCTTCTTCTTCTTCTTCTAAGAACGTGGGTAATGGTGGCTCTCCATTACTTCCTGTCCTTTGTACTTTATAAAAATATTGTCATTTCGCTATCTCCCCTAATCCCTATTCTGCCAACTATTTACACAAATTCGTTCTTCTTCTTTGTTCCTACAGGACGTGGGCGATCGCGGCTCTCCACTATTTCTTATTATGTATAGCTCTTTGTAATGCTTATCTCCTTACTATACGCCCCCGTCCATCTATTTATACATACTCATTTCGTAGATTACTTGATGTTCCATTATGTTTCACTTGCCTTCATCGTGTCCTGTGAATGCTAAATTTTCCAAGCCTTCTTTCCTCATTATGTGTCCAAGAACTTTCAACTGTCTTTATATTCTAAATATCACAGACCCTTTAGTTTCCATTTTCTTCAAAACGTCTTCCTTGCTCACATGATCCGCCGATAGTATTCTCAGCATCTCTCTGTTGAATCACATTTCTGGGGCCTCTAGTCCTCTCTGTGAGGAAATCGCCCAACATTCACTGCCATATAGGAGGATAGATTTTACATAACACTTCAGCACTCTTTTCTTAGCTTCTAACGAAACTTTGAATATGTAAAAAAAATAAAAAGCATTTAAAATTTATCTTGATTTGTAATTACTCTTTAATCTTTTCAAATCGAATATATTTCAGGTGGGAGTCCTGAGGGGACTAGTGTATTAAAAGGGGCTGTTTAGGTGCTATTCTAGTACAGGTAATATAATGTCACATAATTATTGGAGGATCCTTTTTCAGACAGAAAAACTACGTCGTACATAGCTGGAAATTTGCACATTCTTTAATATCAATTAAAATATTCTTTGTGGACCTTCAGTGAGAATCGAATTCCATATATAAACGGACTGGGATATGACAAACTTTCTATTTCCAATGTGACGGCGAGACGAAAATCTAAAAGAATGCATGCATAAAAAAATACAATATGATTTTTTACAGCAATCTCAGTTTGACAGATATCGATATTTCCGGGTGACTTTCTGGTATTAATAAAACAATTTTCGTAAATTAACTTAATCTGGAGAGGAAATGAATTTACCTCATTATATTTATATCCATGGGTATGGGATTAAATTTAGAGAGAAAACGAAAGTGAGGTTATGTGGTTAGTGCAGCGAACCGCCTCCAATGTTTATTTTCATTAAACAGAGCAAAATCTTCTTTACAAATGGAATTAAGATACCTTTAGTTAATGACCATTTTCACCTACGAATTTTAATTTTAAATTTCGCAGGATTTATCAAACTGTTTACGGTTTCAGTTTGTAGTGGGATACTGGATAGTTGGGGAGAAAAAAAGTGGGTGACGTTAAAAGGAACATGGTGGGAGATATGGCAGAAGAAGGCATCGTTACAGGAATTATATTATGGAGGTAAGAGAACCTGGGCAGGGAGAGAAGGGGAAACTGATGAGCTGACCTACATTTTAAGGAAGTTATTAAGCAAATCATATAACTCCAATAATTCAAATTGTCAAATTTTAAACGCTCAATTTAGATGTTAAAACAAAGCCTGAGTTAGAATTTAGGTTGTATCAATATGTTTTATTAACGTTATTGAAGTTATTTGATGTATTCTAAAAAACCGTTATCTGAAGTTATTAGATAAAACTATATAATCACATTTTACTTCAATAAAAAAGGGTAATAAAATCAAGACCTACAAATACAACAAATAACAAACACATATGATAATTCTGTGAATCTTTTAGATTTTAATATATTTACCAAAATTATACAAAATATGATATAATAAAGAATAAATTTATTCAATGAAATCGCCATTGGCTTCAACCACAACCTCCAGACGACTTTGGAATCTCCTGCTACTCTTCTGGGGGTGGTCTCCTTGTTTGAGTTGGTGAATGCTGTCATAATTTCTTGCCTTCAATTCATCTTTGGATTAAGGTGTTCTGTTGGGCTCAACTGCGCCTCACACATAATAATCAAGGCGGTTGCAGTATGGAGAGTTATGTGGCCAGATGTAAGAGGTGATGGGGTTACAGAGATTGCCTGACAGCTATTGCCAGACACAGGGTTTTCCAGCAGCCACCCTCTTGACCCAGGACAGCACTACCTCCTCAAGGCACCTACAAATTTGGGAGCTTTTTTCTTAGAACAATCAGGATGTGTTTTCCAAGCTGCCATATACCTTTGTAATTAGACTACTCCAACTTGAGGCCCTGTGGGAAGATGAATAGAGGCATGATGTTGCTATCACTACTCAATACAGCTAGTAATCTATCATCCATTAATTTTGTTATTTTTTTTTTTACTTCAGCAGGTTCACTTTCCGACATGGTAATTTTAATTGTTTCCGATAAGTCTGCTTTGTTGTTACATTGTTTGCCACCTGCATATAATTTAATCTTCACAATTGACCATAGATTTTCGATCGGATTCAAACCAGGATGTCATGGTGACCATTCCATTATCTTTTCTGTAAATCTTTTATGCTCAAATAATTCATGGGCAAGCTTAGATACACGAGAAGGAACATTATTGTACATAAATACACACTCACTTTGAAACTGGAACTTGATCATAAAATAACAATAGTTAGGACTGTTCAGTTTAACTTCTTCATCGACTTTCAATGGTCCAATAATGGTTTGGGCGATAATTCTAGCACATATAACAGTACCACCTCTTTGTTGCCATCTTTTAGCCACGGGCACGTCTGAATTGGATAAAATCCATTCTTTGGCATATCCATCAAATCTATCAAATATCACTCGAAATTCATCTGTGAAAATTACTTAAGAAAAGTCAATTTTCATGTATTTCCCGGTCCAATTTTGACGCTTTAAAATATTTGCTTTAGTGAGAGGAATTTGCCTAGGAGGTTTTTTTTTCTTACAGATCCCAATTTACAAAGTATTCTACACCTTTTGTCCTTCTTGACACCACAATTTCCAGCCTCTTCAAAGATCAGATCGCTGGTCAAAAGTGGTTGTTTCGCTATAACTCGCTTCAGTTTACTCGAGGAAGCAAATTCTTAAAGCCTTTTCTTTTGCTTCGAGTTCTCAACTCACTTATATTTTCAACAGCCTTCTTTATCGTTCAATGATCTCTGTAAATCTCCTTTGATATCTCCATTGTCGACATTCCCTAACTCAATAACTTTGTTATTCTCTGTTTCTCAGTAGTTGTTAGATCCTTCCTTTTAGCCATGATTCAACATATTTTATAAACAAAAAGGAAAAATAGTTTTTAATAGATTTCAGAGGTTTTCAGTTAATATTAGTATAATCTGCATAATAACTTCAGTCAGTCTATTTTCGTAAATTCCAAATATCTCAAAAATTAACAATTAAAAATGGCAGAAATTTAATTATATATTTTACTAAAGGTGTAAATGGTTGAGTTGAAATGTGACAGATATTTGGTTCAGAACCTTTTGAGTTATTGAGATTTATTTAATTATTATTTTATCAGAAAGTATGCATATATATATATATATATATATATATATATATATATATATATATATATATATATATATATATATACACATAGTAAAAAAAGAACCTTCAGATATTGGAGAGCATCTATATTAAAACAAAGCAACCCACACTTTAAAAAAATACATTTCAAACTAGTCACAACACATTACATATAAATATAAAACTAGGCAAATAATATAAAACTAGGCAAATAATATAAAACTAGGCATATAAAACAAAGCGACCCTCACTTTAAAAAATTACATTTCAAACTAGTCACAACACATTACATTGTATCTAGACATATGGTTCTGTTGTTAATATTTCAAGAACCACATCTTGAACTTATGATCTGCGTCTGCTATTCCGCGACCGTTATCGTCGCAAATCTATGTTAACATAACAGAATATCATTTTCTATGGTGAATATTTGACGTTTAAAATATAACGACTCTGAAGAACGAACATTAGATCAAGCACTAAATTAATAAAATAATATTTTTTTAGCTACCAGCTAAAAAAACAGTTCGTGATATAAAATGATGAGGTAATAATGAGGTAATAATATTATCAATTTTATTATTAATTGCTCATATGCTAATTTGTATTTGCAATACAAGTTTCTGTAATAATAATTATTAAAACATAGCCAAATAATAGAAAAATAAGAAGTTAATAAAACAAAGATTAGACTTTTCACTGAATTTTTAAAGAAAAAAATTATTTTCTTTATTTCAAACTAAACGTTAAATTATAAAACAATACACTTTTAGAACGAACAATAAATTGACAATAAGTTAATTGCTTAATCTATATAGTTAATGACATATACTTAATGACATATAGTTAATGACATATAGTTAATGACATATAGGCCAATCATTGTTCCAGGACTATATAACATAGCTTTAAATTGAAACAGCCTTTAATGCAAACATTGCCATAAAGGAAAATATTTACGGTTTTTTTTTAGAACGGAATAGTAACCCTGGCGTGACAATATATACAAATTTTACCATATCATAATTTTCACTGGTGAAGGTCACTCAAACAAACAGCAATCATCTGCTTAGGGAGATTCGTATTTATTGAAATAACACTAAATATGGATGCCTCCTTTTTGTACACCTAGTTTCATTTTTTTTTTTAGATATTTTTTTCAAAATATTTTATTTTGTATTGTACATATTCGTTTCTTCCTGACGTTTATTTCAAAACACATAACGGCGGCAAGCCAGCATACATCAATTTATTTATCATCAAGTCATATGAAACACTTATCCCGCCATATACATAACTTGTTACAATGACACACCCACATCGCCTCTTCACTGATCAAGTCTCAAAAGCTGCATTAAAGTCCACATATCACGCAAAAGCGATTTGTTGTTATGATTCAACCGTTGTGATTTCCGACCGTTTTCAGCTGTTTATCGATCAGGGCTAATTTCAGGAAATTTTGGCCAAAACACTTTATTTAATCGGATCAGACTGGCTAATTTCGGGGGAAATTTTGTACAAAACACTTTATTTAATCTGACTACCCAGACCAGGGAGACTAAACATATCTCGTTCCACTATCCATGTCAGGGGATATTGGGGTTTAATCCTTATTATGATTATGTGCCTCGAAAGAGAAAGTGGGAAAAAAGAAGATTACCCAGACCAGATATATATATATATATATATATATATATATATATATATATATAGATAGATATAGATATATATATAGATAGATAGATAGATAGAGAGACAGAGAGACAGGATAGCTAGACAGATAATGGACAGATTATTGAAATATATATATATATATATATATATATATATTGAATATATATATATATATATATATATATATAGTTGGATTGATGTGAGTTTGTGATCCTGTCAATCCAAATAAATATGCTAGCTCTATAACTGTTATTGAGCGCTTACCAATAAGTACCGTGCATATATATATATATAAATAATATATATAAAAATATATATATATATATATATATATATATATATATATATATATATATATAGATAGATAGATAGATAGAATGAACATATAGTTGATATACAGATAGATAATGATCAGATTATTGTAGATAGATAGATAGATAATAGATAGATAGATAGATAGATAGATTGGAGAGACTGATAGATAGATAGATAGATAGATAGATAGATAGATAGACCTTTGACTTGAAGAGGATTGAAAGTTGAAGAGATTAAGATCGTTACGTTCAGGGAAGTATCTATGTGGCAGATTATGGCACAAAATAAAAGTTCTTCGGATAAAGTGAGTGATACTTTCTCTTTATATTTGAAATACGAAATAAATGAGATAAATGAGATTGTTTTCCAGTCCACGGGAATAGCATGGTGTTTCTTTGCAAGGTCTGAATTGGTGCAACTAAAGAATAGAGTTCATTCGAACATATGCCATGGAAATAGCTATAAATTAACAAAAGGCTTACGACGTTGGTTATGCCGGAATTTGTTGCAGTGTGAATAATAATTCTCCCACAGGATCGCGTAAAAGGCTGAAAAGTGAGAATTGAGAAGCTCTCGACCAGATATAAGAATTACTCCATTTTTACTCTAACCTGGCTCCTGTAAAGATAAAGCATGGCAGGAGGAACCATATTCTTTTAAGAGCGATAAATTAAACCAGCCATTTTCCCAATGTCTTTAGCAATGAATTGTATATACACACTTGTGCAAATTAACTGAAGCAAAACCTTCCATTATTATTTACTTTTTCTTCGTGTTTTTTCCCCATGAGACATGACCCAGTGCGCATGTTACTACTTCCACAAAGTCGTTCCTTACAGACTGACCATAGATTCTCGATTGGATTTAAATAAGGAGAGGTTCCGAACCAGTCTATAATACTTTGATTTGCACACTGGTAAGGCTTACCAGTTTGTTTGTGCACAATTTGCGTACACTTCTTTGGAGTAATGTCCATCGCAGAAAATGGCCGTAGGACAACTAATCGACAGTTGAGATAATAGTGTCTAAGTGTGATAAAAATCTGATGCAATTTTTCAAGGCCAAACAAATTTAATCATACACCCCGAAAATAGATTCATATTACTGTACACCACTGCAAATGACATAATCCGAGGTAAAAACAGAAATCGATTACACCCTGTCACTCCAGTGGGTGTAAAACTGACCGTATGGTGAAAGAAAGAAACTAAAGTAGGTGTTTCAATTAATTTGAGGTTTAGAAGAGGCACAGCAAGCGTTCAAAACATGGAACCTTGTTGTGGAACCGTTCTTTATAGGTGGGGGCTCAGTTATAGATTATGATGATGATAGCTTGCTTTTTTTGTAAGTATTGGACGTTTACAAATCAAATTTTCCTCATTGAACTCTTAGAGCAAGTAAGGAACAGTTGCAAGACACTGTCCATCTTTATTTTCATTAGACTCTATGTAAATAATGTATGTAATAACTCCTTATCCAAGAAATTCGGACATAAATTTTTTTAGGAAATTCCATTGTCAAATAGCACACATTTTAATTAAGAAGATTGGATATTGACCAGAATTGAAGTTGAAAAGGAATTAATATTTTCAGAAGACGTCCAAGCCCTTAATATCTTAAACTACCAGAGAATCTGCATTTATTTGCAGTAATATTGATTAAAGACCTTTTACCAACCACCGCTTCGCCTTTATTGATAAGTCGATAGGCATAATTCTGTATCTCGCGCAGCCAGACTGATAGAATTCTTTAATTTTTTATTTATTTTGTAACTGATCATCGATGCCAAAAGAGCATCATTGTACTAAAAATTGATCCCTTCGGCCCACCTTTCACGATACCGTTGTTTTTATCGCAATGCTTCGACCCTTCTTCTTTGTTTCCGATTTTCAGAGATACGTTGTTTTTATAATCATAAATTGATCCATTGTCGCTCTTCTTGCCTTTATCTTGACGTTCCAGTCGCTGTAGAAAATGAACAACATTAGAAATGCCGGAGGAGAAAGCGGTCGAAACGTTCAGATAAAGACAACAATGTCAATGAAACAGACCCGAAAAGAATCAATTTTAATACAATCATCTGGCATCCTCAAAAATGGCTGGAATATAGATCAGTATAAAATAAATGATAAAAAACAATAAAGATGAAGAATCTAGTCAGAACTAGTCAAGGTACACTCACTGGAAACTTAATTAATGTACGCGTGATCAAATGCACTTTTATGCAAATTTCTAATTACCCTTTGACGTAGCAACAAGTTAATGGGTAATGAAGATTATAAATTGTCATGGTGTCCTGCTTAAATTCACTTCATGGATTAGTATGCAAAAGAAAGTTAATTTAGATAACTTTGAATGCGGCATGCCCTTCGGTGCAAGCCGGTCGAGTTTGGGTATTTTGAAAACTGTTGATATACTAGGATTTTCAGGCAGAAACATCTCTAGGGTTTACGGATAAAGATCAGAAAACGAAATCCAGTGTGTTGTAATTTTGTTTGTGGAAATCACTTGTTGATGAAAGAATTCATAGGAGAATGGTCAGAGTGTTTCAAGCTGATAGAAAGGCAGCGGTGGTAAAAAAATAAACACTCTTTAGAACAGAGCTTAACAGTAGAGCATATCTGAACACATAGCCTTGAAGCAGATGAGCTACCGCAGCAGAAGACTATACCAGGTTCCACTTCTGTTACAAACGCGAAACTGCAGCTACAATTCGAAAATGATCACATACATTGGACATTTGTAGATTTGGAAAAGGTTGCCTAGTTTGATGAACGGAATTATAGATCCCTCCTACCTTATTGTTATGGTCCAGTTCCTTGTACCCCGGGTGATAGTCCAAGGTAGAACCAATAAAGAAGAACTCGAACACGGCTATGGAATAACATAGATATATTACAAACAGGAATATATACAGAGAAGTAGAAAGTGTTAGTACGAACAATCAGGTTTAGTAGTAATTGTCTGAACGCGACTCTGTTTCGGACTGCCTCTGACTCGACTGACTCGCTCGCTCTGACTGACTGACAGACTCTTGACGGACTTCACTCCAGACTTCAGACTGAACTCCCTGCTTCCTCTTGAGGCGCAGTATTTATTACCTATGGAATAGTCCATTATGTTATTATGGGTAATGTCCCATAACACTTATATATACGGTTCAGTCTCATGATGCTAGTTTATTTATTTATTTATTTTTAACAGTAAGGTTCACCCTGTACAAGGTCTGGGGCTACTTGTGGTAGAGGGTTAAGAGGGAGTTTATACGGATAAGAGGGGGAGGTAAGGGTTAATCCTAGATTTGAACAGGTTAAGATCAGGGAATCATCCTCTTAAGAGTCGGTTCCACAGAGCGAGGAGTAGTTCGCGGGAAGTGGCTGTTCTCGCCGATGGAATACGGGATGGGGGAATGTGGCTGGCTTGCTACAATATAAGTGGCATGACGGGCCCTAGCCGTGAAGGATTGACCTGACGGAACCAAGGAATACAGTTTCTCCGAACACTTTCCATGGTAGTAACAATAGAGCAGCGAAGGATCGCCCCATTTCCGACTGAGAGAGAGAGAGAGAGAGAGAGAGAGAGAGAGAGAGAGAGAGAGAGAGAGAGAGAGAGAGAGAGAGAGAGAGAGAGAGAGTGAAGGGAAGAAAGTAATTTGTCACACAAAAGGACTCGGTTTGGTTTGGTTTGTTTTACAGCATATCAAACTCAATGGGTTATTCAATACCAACAAAATTTATATTGCTGTTAATATTTTTTCCTTCATAAATCTATTTTTAGTAATATTTTTTCTTCAAAAATGTATTGCTGGCAATAATTTAAAAAAAAGTATTTCTGGTATCAAAATCTATTTTTACACTTTCATAGTGTTCTGACCCCAGTTTGGGGGTTAACTATTTGCCCATAGCTGGGGCCCAAACAGGTACTACCACCCCGAGTCAGGGTGGACCTGGGAACACCAGCAATTAAAAGGTGATTCCACGCTCCTCAAAACCTTCTGATCAGGGACCTTGCTGTTGGACGTAGTTTATCGTCTTACCCAGGACAGGGATGTAGTTTATCGTCATACCTAGGACGGACAAAAGGACATTTTGAACTCTATCAGGCCTGGAAAGTGAGGACTGGGCAGCTATCGTCCAAATATGACAAGAATACTCCATTTTTGGTTTGATATGGCTCTTGTAAAGGTAGCGGAGTCATGTATAAATGTGCTAGCTATTTTATTTTACTGTTTAATGGTATGAGAAATATTTTCTTGGTATACATTTGAACCTATGGTTTCAATAAAAGATGAGTTAAATACCGCAGACTATTTGGCTGATTCCATGTCTCAATTTATAACTATGTGTAGGAGATCCCGCCAAAAATCTAGACGAACTGAGCCTGCCAGTTGATTTCAGTCGGTGAGTAAAATCTATTTGTAACGTTCAATACATCAAATATCAAGCTAATAACATTTCATTGTCAAAAAGAAGACTCCGGGTTTTCTCCGCTTTTGATAAATGGTTGCCCTCTCAATGGGGTTTCTTGAATGGAACAGTTATTGGGACACAAGAGTCCGTCGAAGATGCGGGAAGAGGGGATGACGGTTAGAAGTACCAGTTTCAGTAAACATGGATGTGCGGGTGGTGTATCGGATAATGGCTCAGAATTGAAAATCGGAAAACCGTTTTCCAATTCCAGTCGGGATAGTTATATTCATTTACGCGCAAATACCGTTCGGAAAGATATGAATCCACCTCTTCTCCCCCCCAACTATGGGTTAATTAGTGGGACCTGTATCAGTAAATTGTGATTATCTTCAAAGAATTCTTACTATCTAAAAATATTTTCTGTTTTTTAAATAACCTGCAAAATGTTGCTAAGCCGTAAAAAGTGTTTATCTTTTTACAATATAAACACATTTACGTTCGAATCATTGTACGGCAGAATTTAAGTCATAAAATAACTGATCAGTGTACAACAGAAGCAACACCACAGATCACAAATTCTGTAAAAAAAAAAGGTGAATGTTTTTCGAGTCGAAGAGTATATCACTGAGCTTTGCAAATCGAAAGTTACGTCATGTTACATCGCTATCTGGAGAAGTTGAAAACGGGAAAAAATTTCAGGAGGGTGTTCTGTTCGAGCAAGAAAGTTTCAAAGAATCAGCCGACATCTTTCATAGCTCGACTGGAATACAGATAGTTCCGCACACTTGGGAATGAGATCTTTGACAAGAACACGCATGTACTGAGCGTTTGCGTTGTTGAGAATTTACTGATGCGAAAATCTTTCAAGCGGTTGGCCGGTCGATTTTGAAAATCGACTTTCGTCAATCTCAAAGTTGGTGCCAGCGTTGGATTCACTGGATAAGAATGTAGAATCATTGAGTGAGACTACGATATATATATATATATAGCTAGATAGATAGATATAATGAAGAAATTATTATAGATAAATAGATAGATAAATATAATGAAGATATGATAGATAGATACATAGATAGATATAATGAAGAGATTATATATATATGTGTGCGTGTATATTATATATATATATATATATATATATATGTAAATGGAAAGGGTTATAATAGTTCCAACGTGAGAAAAGTGTGTATAATAAAAAGAAGAGAGAAACCGCAAACGTTTTTGGTTGTAATGTGGAATTTAAAAAAATATATTATGCTTTATTTCCCATAATTCTGCTACACGAGTTTTTGGTCTCGTGACATTCATCAGGCAAAGTGTTTCAACTTTTTTTGTGCGTTAGTGACCCAAATGCCTTTCTTGAACCACATTACAACCAAAAACGTTTTCGGTTCTCTCTCCTTTTTATTTATATATATATATATATATATATGTGTGTGTGTGTGTGTGTGTGTGTGTGTGTGTGTGTGTGTGCATATTTCTATATACATAGAGAGAGAGATAGATCGATAGGTAGACAGACAGACATAATGAACGTATTATATTAGATAATGATCAGATTATTGTAGATAGACAGGGACAGGCATACAATGAACAGATTATTGAATATATATATATATATATATATATATATATATATATATATATATATATGGATGGATGGATAGATATATAGATATATAGAGAGAAAATGAAAGAGAGAGATAGATATTATACATAGCTAGCTAGATAGATAGAAAGAAAGATAGATATACATTGAAAGATTTAGAAAGATAGAAACTAACAATAATAGTTTTACGGGAAGACCGAGATAGAGAAAATAGAAGTCTCTAAATTGACAGCTAATTATTAAGAACGCACACACATATACACACACACCCACGCCCGCGGACACATATACACACACACACACGCCCACTCACAAACATATACACCAAAATACACGCACTTACATACATAAAGCAATTTTTAGTTGCTAATTGATATATATTTAAATTCCTAAATAAAATTGATATTTTAAATTTTCTCTTTATTTCTAATGTGTATGTCTTCTTCACAAATCATTTATTTGGACGATGTTTCGTTTCGCCAAATTGATATCTTCATCTTCAACCTCTTTCTCTTTCCTGCTTTCTGCTTTTCTCTTTCCTTCTCGCTCACTTCTTCCTTCTGTTACTCTAGTTTTTCGTCTCATTCAGTCTCTAATCTAAATGTGGCTATTACCTCTTCAAAAGAATATATATATATATATATATATATATATGTATATATATATCTTTCTCATTACATTGTTTTTTTTTATCTATGGCAATGGGAATGTTATTTTTTATATAAAATTGGTAGGTGGGTTAATAAAACAAGGATAAACGAAAAGGGTACCAATATAATCACTACGATAAACATTTATTAAATAGTAACCATAAACAGAAATGAAGCATATATATATATATATATATATATATATATATATATATATATATATTAAAAAGAAGAAACCGCAAACATTTTTGGTTGTAATGTGGATTTTTTTTATGTTTTATTTTCCATACTTATGTAAAATAAAACATAATATTTTATAAAAAAAAATCTACATTACAACCAAAAACGTTTGCGGTTTCTCTCTTCTTTTTAATATATACACTTTTCTCTCGTTAGAACAACTATAACCTTTTCCTTATATATATATATATATATATATATATATATATATATATATATATATATATATATATATATCGCAAATAAGCATGAAACAGACTGACACCACTGGGTGTTGACTTCAATGTCCACTTTTATATTTACATAGCACTCTAAATCTGATATTGACACTTTAACCCATAAATATAGCATACGTTAAAACTATATTTTCTTTATATATATATATATATATATATATATATTTGCACACGCCTATCTCTGATATTGAACACTTTATCCCATAACCCATAAATATAGCAGCATCTTAAGACTATATTTCTTCATATATATATATATATATATATATATATGTATTTCATCATATATATATATATATATATAATATATATATATAGTCTATACACACACACACACACACATATATATATATATATATATATGTAAATATTATATATATTTATATAGTCTCCCTATATATGTATTTATATATATATATATATATATATATATATATATATATATATATATATATATAAATCGCATTCCTTTTGGTGCGGTCTCGCTCCTAATAGTCGTTACTGTATGATGTCATTGAAGATTATTTCCACCTCCCATAGATTCCAAAGAATACGGAAATCTTGGAATTCTACCTACAACACAGACACCAAATTGGTTCTTGAAAATGACTGAGGCAGTCGAAATTACTTAAAACACTTCCATCCTATTACTCAACACCTTATTTTCAAATTGGAAAAATACAATAAAAAATTAAAACAGTCAGACATTGTCAGTTCTTTTTAAAATAAACTTGTTTGCCTAAATATTGAAATGTATATGTATGTACACTCTAAACCCTCTGGAGAGATTGCATCAACGCTGTTTCAGAGCGATTCTTGGTGTCCACATGATAACCATACACCAGGCAGTGAGGTGCTCGAAACGGCCAATTCAATCATCATGGAGGTGCGCCTTCATTGACACAGGCTTCGCTGGGTGGGCCATGTCTTTCGTATTGACGACAACAGAATACCCACACAAATGCTCGACGGTGAATTTCTATCCGGTACTCGACCCCCCCGCAGTATCAACCAAGGATGCGCTTCATAGATTGTTGAAAAGAGTCTTGCAGCCTGCCATATAGACGAACTCGAGTAGGAAACTTGTGATCGAAATAAGTGGAAGGCGTATAATTCATGAAGATAATCCTTCAGAAACATGTAAGGAGTTGGGAAAAATCTCAAGAGCGCAGCTAGTGTAGGTGGGAAGGAATCATTGACCTAGTAATCCATCAATTTACGTGTGTTGAATGTGGCAGAGTATCTCACTCACTCTCCATTACAGGCCTCGTTAGCCACAAGAAGAGTTATATTGGTAAACTTATGGTAAATTGTGATCAGTACTACGGTGGAAATAAGTGGGGTATGTCAGAACGTTAGCAGAAACCGTTCCGGTCTCATCCATAACAAAAACTGACGAACAAGTGGAACAAACTATTTAGTTTGTCATATATGCAATGAGATTTGCAAGTCACTTGATGGCTTCATGTGTTATAATTCACACGAAAACTAAAAGCATTGATCAAACTTGTCAGTGATAGTCAT